GGCAACATTTGTGTAGCCTATTATTTTGAACCGCCAGATCGATAGACATCTTTCACGTTAAATGTCACATCAAATTAAAAAGTATTTCTTATATATATGTTTATAATATATATTGGAATGCACCGTCGTGGTGCGATTATATTGTATCGGAGGGACAAGGAGGAGACTCGCGCATTAACCTCGACCGAAATTGTCGGTTCGAGGGGTAAAACCGATACGGAAAGTTTTAGACACGGAGAGAAACCGCGGAAATGTTTTGATTTCACCAAGTTGATTTTTTTTTTCATTTCGTGCGGTCAAACTATACTGAAAGTTTCGCGTGTTTCATCGTCAAACCGGAAAACAAACGTGAAAATACTCGATGTCACTTTACATATTCTAGGAAAAAATATATTTATAGACTAGAAAAATTGAATGCAAACACTACCATATGTCATTGTTATAAATAGTACTAAGTATTTGAAAGATTTATTCAACCAAATTGCATTTAATAATACGGTTAAAACTACAGAAAAATCGCTTGTTCTTATAAATAATGATAAATTTTTTTTTAAAACATACATTTTTATAATCGAAATTTTATTCTTAAACCAAAAAAGGCTTTAAGTTTTAACAAAACCTCATACATCTAAATTTCAGTATGTAGTCATTTTAAGTTTAATTAAAATGCGTATTTTATTTACAAAAAAAATCAATACGTATTACATCCCTGACCTTTAGAATCGTTTTACTGAAACACATATCCGTCTTACCTCTACATGATGTTCATAATAAATTTAGGTTCATAAAGTTTACAATAATGATTTGACAAAGGACAAAAACACTTGATCTCGGTGTCCCAACCAACTCATATATGTCATTAGACATATTTATTTTTGTGACGAAAAATGGATTATCTACATACCATAGCGTATTATATGCAACGGAATATGTTTTAGTTAGTGGTACTCTGGCCACTCCTTACGGTATGTTTACAAATATAATAAACAATTAATTTCAAGTCGTATACATACTTGGTTTATTTATGAATAGTAATTTTGAGGTGAAGTTAGGGAGGTGTGGAGTGCTGACACCATAATTTTTTTTCTTTTCACCGAAAATAGCTGAAGTTCAAATTATCTCCTCTTTATCTCTAACACAAAGACCGGTTAGGCTTCTGATGGTCATCACCGGATATTTGAAAAAGATAGTGTATAGTCTATGCATGTCATTCAATATTGGAAGAGTAATAGGAAGTAGATATTATTCAAGAAAACGACCGACACGTCGGGGAAAAAGATGAGAGAACACCGATATTTCTGTAAGAAATGGTTTTAAATAACGTGATTATAAAGTGCCATTGTTGATTATGTATACAAAAAAGAAAAATTATATGATCTGTTTAAAGCTTATTCAAAATTTTGATTTCAACGGTTAAAATGTATAATAAATTAAAATCTTAAATTTTAGAGAACAAGTAAAATTTGTATTAATTGAAATTTATTTTTTCGTATTTTCCGTTTAACAAGAAATAAGAAAAAATTAAAAGGTATAGTTTAATTTAAAATTATTTAAGTTAACATCAATGACTTGAACAATTATGATTTCGAAAACTATTTACTATCTGAACTGTAATTTTTAATTATTCAAGAAAAAGTTATATTGATAAAATATATTATTTTAAACATTTGTAAGAAACCGATAAGTTATTAATTTAGTAAAAATTATTAATACGTTTTACGTTTTGTTTGTATGACATTGATCATTTTAAACATGTGATATATATTTTTTTTCAATTACATTATAGTTTAGAATTAAATCATGTGAAACTATTATAATAAATAAGAAAAAAAAATGTTCTTTCTTGCAAAATTAATAAGTTAAAATGTATGTATGGAACACTGTACATATGTTTTGTAAGTCACGAGGTAAAATATATTTCAATCATAATTGATTCCGTTATATTTATATATATATAATATATATATATATATATATATATTTTTACAGCAAAATAAAAAAAAAAAACTTTATCATTATTAATATTATACACGAGGGTTATATGTTTTAAGTTATAACTAATAACAGTCGAACGTATAATATTTATGTACTATACTTTGTATACATTATATTTGTGTGTAACAAAATTTTGTGTTGTACTGGCACGTAGTATGTGCGTACTATATATATATAATGAGTAAACAAATAAAAGGGGAGGATTAAATAAATTATACACTCACTTAAGTGATCGTCAGTAATGAACGTGTTAGATGAAATTTTCCTGGATCCCGGAGGAATACGTATTCGTCTAATTCGAGATGGAAGATGCCAGAGACGGGCGTTTTAAAGGGTTACTGGCCCCTGTGTGCACTAAAAATAAATATACCATAGAAAAAAAAGTTTGCCGGCCGACAGGAAATTTCATTGCACACAATCATACGCGCATAAACATATTCATACTCGCACGTTCACTCGTGTTTGCGTTTGTGCATCTGACAGGTGTATCGAGAATGCATACGGAGCTTAAACAAATTAGAAATTTGGTTTTTTTTTTCTATAATAATAAAACAATTTTATTAGTATAAACGAGCGTCTTATTGTTCTCTTAAGTGTCTAACCGATGGGATAAATATTTTTCTTTCGACTTTACCGGCAAACAATATCAACTGTTCGGGTTTAGGGTTCGTAAGCAATTAAACAAAAATCCACTTATCGTTCGCAGTACTATTGTCGTGTTATATATATACATACACACGTGCATGTATACATGCGTAGAGATGTGATGATAATATCTTGCTCACCCTTCGACATTATGTGAATGTTAAAAACCATTACACTGGCACAAACGTATAAGATTTATTTACCCAATATTTTTTTGTGAGTAAATTCCATAGACCTTTCTTATCTTAGGATGGTTAAAAATTACACAAACTTAATATATTGTTTCACACAAAGATTAATATTATTTATTTTAAGTATTTTTTCATTTTAAACTTGATTTTATTGATACACGTGAGACTCATGTATCTATACTGATCTTATTTCAATGTTTAATTTATGATCCACGTATAGTCTCAAGAACACGAGAACATAACAATATATAAGAATCTCTAAATTAATCTTATTTAATCGATTTTGAACCGGTTAAAAATAATTTTAATTAATTTTACAATAAAAAATTGGATTTAAACTTTGATATGTATTATATTTAAGCAAATTTAATGAGATCTAAACTAAAATAGTAAAATTAGTTCAATACTCGACTATAGACGAAAATGATAAAAGTATGTAAGATTAATTATTACAAATTATGTATGTATGTAAATTATAAATTATATAAATTATATCATATAGCATTAATGCGAATAATTTTATAGTAATAAATTAAATAATTTAATATTTATATTTGATAGTTAAACACATTTAATATTTTTTTAAATTTAACCATATTATCCATATTATTGAATGACCACATGATTTAATCAAATTAATTTTATGTTAAAAATTAGAATAAGGTGAATCAAAATCATAAACTAAATTAAGTTTGTTCATCTCAAAAAAATATTAAACATAACGTCCTAAACTTATTTATTAATATTTTTCTTTATAACAATAATATCAAATTGTACTTATAAGATCAATACGAGGTGTGGAAACATCAATCTTAATGAATAAACTTGGATTTAGTTAAAAGGTTCGAAGAACGAGTATGTTCAGCTTGGTATACTTAATATAGACTGACACGAAACGTATGCGAGTAAATTTTACCACTACCCATAAAGAGATAATTAAACCTTGTCACCATACCATAGAGATTTCTATTTAAATACATCAAAAGCAAAAGCGTTAACAATAATTTCAGTACTATTCTTCAGCTTTTGATATATGTTCAAATTATTATAATTTAGGATTATATATTATTATTGTATTTTAATATTAAAATTAATTTTTATTTTATCCAAGGATTCAAACCTGGTATATTTTTATCTAGCCAATAAAATCGTTAATTTAAAAAAAACCATATTATCAGTGTGAGAGTATAAAATTTATTTATATTATATCGGGAAGAAGTTTCATCGTGTATACAATTCAAAGATTTATGATTTGTAGGCGTAAAATAACGGATAGAACATATTACCCGAGTGTGTCATTGGCGGGTGTGAACATTTTAATAACTATAATAAAAACAAAAAATTGAAGAGGGAGTGAGAACCCGAAATAGTGCGACCATAACGAATATTATTATGCTTTTCCAGACACCCTTGTAATTATCGTCACCCCTGTTGTTGAAATAGGAAGTACTCTTAACACAATAATGTTAAAAAGTTATGATATGGTATTTGAATATCAAACCATACAAGACAACAGTGAGTGTAGGATGAATGTCGAAGGGGATGTTCATCTGAATGCACACGAGAAATAGATAATCAATAATATTCATGTTCTTTAATTAAAAGTTTGAAAATATGATGTCTAGTATGCACCTAAATAAAATGTAACCTATATTACGTTTTTACTGTTTTTAATTAAATCGTGTAAGGATAATAATGCATTAGTTGTGGTTTCTATGTATTTATATATCTCTATGGCAATCGGGCGATTAATAGTTTTTTTTTTTTTTACGTGAAGTGTAGCTTCTAAGTTTTTCAAGTTTTTTATACTCTTATAATACGCACAATCAATAATGCTATCAATAATATTCGCTACAAACAATTTCGATAACATAAGGTATTTCCTTAACAATATAATCCAAGTTATTTAAAATGTTTTATTAAATACATCTTTATACATTAACAAACGTGTTATTCAAAACGTCTAATTTAACAATTCGATCTAAGCGTTTCGTATTAAAGAATTAATGTTGTGTTAATATTAACGATGTAATACTTTCAGAGCGTGAACAACAGGCGTATTAAAGACGTTTTAAATACGCTTTTCAGACGCTTTCTAACGGTCGTTACACGAAGAATAATAATAATAATAATAATAATAATAATAATAATAATAGAGGTAATACTAACTTGGACAAATACGTACACGGTACGGTGAAAACGAAATCGTCGCAGATCGGTGTACCGTTTGTCGCGTACGTGGGCGACAGGACGCGCGCGCGGTGGTCGGATTCGAATTTCCGCGGTAAAACGCGTTCACCGTTTCGATCGCACGTCAGCACCCGTGGTCGGAAACCGATTATCCAGCGACATCGACGACGGTCGTAGGACACGAAACACCGTCACAACTGATCAACCCGGTCGTAACGGTCCCGCGACGAGCACCGGGGGTCGGAGCGGACGGCACACGGGACCGGAGAGCGAAAAACGAAGGAGACGCGGCGAAGGAGCCGGCGCGCACGGGACTGTACAGGCGCGTTCGGCCGGCGCGTCACGTCGACGTTTCGCCGACCCCCCTCCCCCACCCCCCGAGCGCCGACGACGACGCATCACGCACACGCACGCGCCGTTCGAGGCGCTCGCACGCGCACGACATACGCGTACGCGCTCGCGGTAGCGCGAGCCGACACCGGAACATTATTATTATTTCTCTCTCGTTTCGAACACCTCCCCCCCCAACCCCCGATAGCGCTTTTCGGAGCCCGTCGCACGCGTTATTAGGACACGCGCGCGTAACCGTTCGGCAGCGGTGTGGCGTACCGTTCGCGCGCGCGAATCGGTCGCACAAGTTCAACAGCGCACGCGGACCGAAAACACGAATTCATTCCGTCCGGGTTCTTTCCCCGACCAACAAATAATGACCGTTGTCCGTCGGATACCTTCGAACCGCTTCGCCGATCGGATTGACAGGGGAGGTGCTGGTGCAAAAATGTTCAAATACACGTCTCCTCACGGACGTCCGTTCTCGAACGCACGCGTCCCTGCTACCAACGTGTACCGTTCGAATTATTCAAATTTATTTCGCTGTGAACGCGAAACAGGCGTTTCGGTTCATCGACAATTATTGTTGTTGTTGTTCGACGTGTTCATCCGTGTGCGCTCGTGTTTTACGACGAAACGGTAGCGTGCGAATCGCGAGCGCTAAACGAGCGAATCGAATTCGGCGACCTTCTAAAAATACCCCCTATCGCGCCATCAGGTTTCCCGGGCGGTTGTAAAAGAACGCTTACCCATCGATTTTACTCGATAATTGTATTGCGTGCGCGCTTTTGTGTCCCAAGACAATACTGTGCGAATCGGCTGGTTTGCTAACGATACGTTATGAAACATCTTACTATCCCACGATCCCGGAACTGCAGATGCGAGCTCTGGATGTGCTGCGATGCGATTTCGGATTGGTGCATTTTAGATCGATCCATGGCAAACGATACGGAATGTAAACAGATTTCCCTGCAATAATTGTATGGAAACGTTAGGGTCGAAGGTTGTGTATCGTCAAAGAGTGATTACTTACGCGGGAATTGAGAACCAATCCTCTAAAAAATTTTTTTCACGATATTTGAGCCCGATTTGGTGTCGGATGATTTCAAACATTTTTATGAAGTAAAATACATTTTTAATAGCTGTCATACCTTCTCGGACTTCTCTAGGTATACTTCCATTGAAAAGAATGCGCGGCTATTAATTTTTATTTTCAATCGAGATTCAATACACATTTCTTATTTGTTGACCAATCGTAGTTGGTTTGCCGTGTACCGTTTTATTTTTATTATATAAATAATTTACTTTGCATTTATTATTGCGTTTGGTGTTTTAATAAAAAGGAACAGATGCTGATCAATATTATATAATTTAATCGTAGTTTTACTAGACTTGTTTTATTAAAAATATGAATTTATGTACGAGTATAGTGTGTGAAATACTCTATTGACTTAATGAAAATTCAATAATCACATAACTCGAAACAGTTTAAACGCTGTACGCACTACTGCTCTTGTTATTGTATTTGTATTGATATTTCAAATATCAACCAAACGTCCAAACCTATTGATTTTTGCATATGTAATTTATTAGTTTTAAATATTCATACTCGCAGATGGTTCTAGATAAAGTGTATACTACTGTAGTTTTCTATTAATTGTAATGGTATTAATGCAATTTTAATTTTAAAATATTATTCATGATAATTTGTAATATTACAGGATATTACAGGACAAGCAAGGTGTTGGCAATTAAACTCACTAATTCACTTCTAAATCATAACAACTGTTATTTGTTAATATAAATTAGAAAATTATGATGAATTTTATTTGAATAACGATCATATGCAAAATTCAATTTACCACAATGTATCTCTCTTGTGACCCCACTCCAAAGATCAATGCATCATCCCTCTTAAAAATACAACACCTAATTACCGTTATAGTATTTATTTCTCCAGATCAATTTTTTAATATTAAGACGACTACCTACTTACTTCCCAATACTGGTATATCTTCAGGCTACTTCAGCTTATCATACAACTCGTTGATTTTTCTTCATACTAAGGTATGTTTTAGTAAACCATTTTTTTACTCAGAAAGTCTCAGCTGAAAATACATAACACAGGGTGCCAAATTAATCACATATATATTTGTTAAAAGTTTTGGCTGTTAACCAAATCATATGAAACAAGTTTAACAACATTTTAAAACTGTTAATTTAAATATAAATTTCTTTTTTTCATAATATTAATATTCACGATATCTTAAGTGACTATAATAATTTATAGATAGTTATGCTTAAACACAATATAAATAGATATTAACCATAAAATTATTAAGTGGTTTTAAATTAATGTACAAAAACAACACTGCTAAACAATTTTTTCGCTTAAAATTTCAATTATTGATTGTAAAATAAACATTTAAAAATAAATACTGATTGTTATAAATAATGATTATTGACTCAATAAACTATATATAAAATTTTTTCAGTCCCTTTTATATAAATATTAAAGTTTATTTCCATTAATTTTTAAAACTACGAAGAGGAATGTTTATAAAATATTTATTTAGAAAATAAAAATAAACTTAAATAGTTTAAAATCAAATGCGCCAAGTCTTATATCCATTGCGTAATATTATACATTGGATTATTTTTGAGCTAGTTATTGAATTTCGCAATTGTAATTTTTAAGGTCTGAAAATTAATTACCAGGTAAATTCAATACTATTCTACAGAAATAATATCTCAAAAAGTTTTTTTTTTTTTTGAATGTTGAATGATTTTAATATTTAACGCCAGTGAAGTTTATAGTTTGAAAGTAGTTATTGATATACTTAAAATAAACGGTATACTATCGATCACCCATTTGCGATTAAAGCGATTTCCATGTTGAAATTTAACTGAATATTATACAAATTAAAATTGTCAAATATCATGTCTGTTATATATTATATTTCTCAATTTGAAACGTATAATAATAGAATAACAGTTTTAAGTAAACTTTATTCCGAATAATTTATAGACTATAACTACTGTAATCATCTGAACCGAAGGATTATTTAATTTTAAACTTGGTTGTTACATCGGATAATAACTATAGTTTACGCCATGAATGAATATTTTAAATAGTGTAATTTATCTATAATATTTTAATGTACAGTCTTACGTACATGCTTATACACCACTGTGAATTGCAATATCGGCTGATAATTTCTAACCCTTACATCATCACGGATATTATATTCAAAATTTCCGCTCTGATCATTACAAAAATTATTCTGTCATCAATCAGGATTTATTTCTACAGCTATTGATTATAATATTATAGGTATGTACATGAAATACTACTGCTTTCCGGTTATTCTGTGTACCCTTGAGATTAGTTTATTTGATATAATTAATATTCATAACATTAAAACATAATTATATAATATTATTAATCTTCTTTATGGTATTCAACCTTTAAGGTTGGTTTTGCAAATGGATATGCACTCTCCATTCATCTCAGTTAGCCTTTTCAGGTTGTTATAACTTGTTAGTTATAAACTAACAATATTATTGATACCTAAATACATTTTTTTATTTAAAAATAATAACGATATTAAAAAAAGCCTAAGCTGAAATGACAATAAAAAAAACTATTATATTTATTTAAAAATGTAGGATTTCAATTAAAATTATTATTCCAAATAAATATATAAGTAAAATCTGTAATTGAATTTTCATAATAGAAATAAAATTAACTAAAAAAATATCAAATAATGTAGATTAACGATTTCTTTATTATTAAAATTAAAAATACTTTATCTTAGCCAATTATAATTTAAATTGATTGTGTAGTTTTTTTTAAATAACTTTTTTTGTTCGAATTGTAGTTTGTAGTTTAAACATTAAGATACATTAAAATATAAAATATTTTCTTTACTCTTTAAAAAATATTTACGCAGAAATATATTGTACTATTCAACATTATGAAAATTTGATGAATGATTAGAACTCGTAATAGATTAGAACGAACCGACTGCAAAAAGAAAACATTTTGGTTTCTTTCTACTATGAGTTTAAAATTAATCTCATCATGAACAATATACCGCTCATTATTATTTTCTATACCTCTAGGTGATGGCGCAATTATGTTAAAAAATTAAAAAAATATAAACTTAAGCACGACGAGAAGATATAGTTTAATAATATAATGTATGTGAATAAATGTGAATGGAATGACATCTCTCGACATTCTTTGGTTTTTTGGTATGTACAATACGCAAGAACGCGGATTACTTTATCATTAACTTTTTAAAGTGTCCTTTTTACTTTCTTCTCATCGATCAATCTGTTAATTATCATTTACTTAACAGGTTCGTATACGTTACGTTATAAAATACTGATATCAATGCATGCCGGAGTGCAGTCAAATCAATGTATATCGTTCGACGTTTTTCGTAATTCTTTGATTCATAAAATGCTAATTAAGGTACTTTAGATTAATATTGTTAAATACTGTTGTCAACGTGATTAGCAATAAATAATAATTAAGTTCGCGATCCTTACGTATGTGTGGTATGAAGAGACGATTCACGAACCGTTTTTGGAATTCATCGGTGTTACGCCTACACTGAGGTCACCGAGTATTATGTACACAATGCATTAGTACATTGTACAGTGACATTTATGCTGACAAATCAATTTTTTCTAGGATCGATAAACATTTTAATGGTACTAATTATTTGAGTGGTGCAAACGTTAAAGCATAACTATTGACAAAACATGGAAAATGTACCTATATGAAATACCCTTACTTCATTATACAAATTACCCATTTATATGAATTACCACAGAAGAATATCAACAACGCTCTTATCATGTTTCACTGCAGCATGCAATACCCTTTACAACTACAGCTACACACGATCAATTTAACAAATTGTATGTATCTTTAAGTTTTTCAACACATTTTGTTATTAAATTATTTAAGCCAAGATTTTCATGCGTGAACGTGCTTATTTTGTTATTATATTTATATTCATGGTTTTGATAATAAACCATATCGTTGCTTCAGTTCAAGACTGCAATAACTCAAAAAAACTACTATTGAGATATCGACACCTCAGTTCAAGACAGCAACAACTCAAAAATATTCAGAATTGAATTATCTACGTGATATTATTTGCAAAATCACGACGATTTCAATTCTATAACGCAATAACTATTAGTTGCATTATTCACCTCTAGAAGTCGTTTATTTCATTTTAGAACCAGTAATTTCATAATTTGAGTAATTGCAGTCTTGAACTGAGGCGTCGATACCATATTATGGTTTGAACACAAATTGAATTAATAGAAATAGGTTAAAGGACAATACGAGTAGGTTTATGGCTATAGTCCAATGAAAATTGTCGATGAATATATACACTGTTCTGCTTAGATTTATTTTTGCACAAATATTTATTGAAAAAATAATTTTAGATACCAATACCCGTGTACGTACATATATTTTGACTATTATAATATTACTCCTATATTAAAACTTCTTAACTAATTGTAATTTGTAATTTTTATAATTAATTCGAGTTAAATATAATTCGTATGTATAAAACTATAGATTTACATATTTTACTGAGTATTATTTTCCAAAACCATATCAATAAATTTAATCGTGTGGTTACTGCTTAAAAATTATATTCGTCTTGATGTAGCGATAAAAAAAAAAAAATGCCGTCGTAATATTATTTACGAACTGGGTTTAAATTTGACCATCCTCTGTTAACGCATCCAATAATTCGATTAGAATAATAATAACTAATAACTAATAAATATAGAATAATAATAACTCAATACAATTAAAATAAATGCCACAAGTGTGGATACCAAATCGTAACCTTAAAATAGTTTTACAATGTAAAGTTAGGGTCGTTAGGAGTTTAGTTGTTTAGTTGAGTTTAGTTTGGTATGTAAAAAGTGTTGTTATTATCAAATTAATATCACATTTGTAGAAATTAAAATACATCCATAAACCTATAAATAATAGTCTAAAATAAATAATAATAAAATATAATAAATTCTAGAGTTATTATTTTTAGATCAATTATTTTAATTTAATTATTTTACTAGAAAAGGGATAGTAATATTTATAAATAAAACTATATTAATTCATTGCTGTTTTACATTTTTCAATTTAAATTGCGTTTTTATTCATTGAATCGTGTAAAAAATGGTTTTCGGTTGTGATTTCAAACATAATATGACAACACACCTCTGTTTATACACGCTCACCCAAGCGACCTGTCTAGAACACTTTATTTTATTATGTAAAACAATAAAAAGATTGACTTCTGCACATAAAACTCAATACAGAGATAAAAATAAATATGAAAAAACAGGTTTCGATGACGAGACAGATAGCATTGAATATTTAAAATAAAATATAAAAGTTCTTATTATAAGTACATTGATGATAGATATAAAAAAAACTAAGCAATTTTTTAGATTATTTTTTTTATAAGATATTCCTATTCTATGTAGGTAATCTACATTTACAGATATTTATTGTTGAATCAATAACTTTTGGCTATTTTAACATGATCATAATTATAATGGTAATAATAATCAATACCTTGTACCTACTTGGTTTTGAATAGACATTATAAAATAATATAATATAATATAATAGTTTAAAAATTAAGAATATAATTTATTTTATTTATTTCAGCCAAATTAATTACAGTTACTTGATAACAATAAATAAATTATTACATAATAATTTATAATAATATTCTGTATAAAAATTAAAAATAAAGTATTTAGTATATATGTTATGATATCATTTATTATAAATTTAAGCATTCGGGTTGGCCAATCTACCCATAAAAATGATTTTACTATTTTGTTTTATGAAAAATAAGAATGGATGACACGCCTTGAAGTTAACAGTATTGGTGTTATTCGATGGGGGATTTGATACTTCAGTTACATTGGCGGCACCTATTAAATTATATAAATCATTCATAGAAAAAAAATAAATAATTCCATCAATATATTGTATTGGCTAGTAAACAAGTATTCTTACCAGTAACTCTGAAAGCTTCGGTACCTTTTTCATTAACTTCTATGAAGGACTTATGTACGATTTCGCTGACTTTTAGGTTACGCGGTCCGTTCAAATATATCCCAGATAACTCAGCATGTGACGTGAATATGTCAACACAACATAACTGTAAAAAAAACAAATTTGTTACGTACGAAAATAGAAAATAATAATTAGAAATATAAGGAAATGAAAATTACAGTCATGCTATAATTAAATTTATGAAGTAAAATTGTAAGCACATATGTAATACATAAACATTTAAAAACACCATTTTTATCTAGGTATATATTTACGTTTCTTATGGCAGTCTCGAGATCCAAATCCGATTCAAATTTAAACTTTGGTAGAGTCAATACTACTTTATGTGTTTCCAGTTTGCCGAGGAGGGCATTGAAATTTGTTGGATCTCTCAGAAACGATTGTTCTAAAGCTATAATTCCGTCCATCACATCTGGTAGCACAACAAGCATCTGGAAGTCACCTCCCTATTGCACGGCTTGATTAGTAAAATATACCTTTGGTATTAGTAAATGTAATACATTGTACGGAAGTTCGATGGCAGCAAATTTATTTTTTTCGTCCTTGTAGTATGGGAAATATTCAGTTAGATGCATCATATTGGCTTGGATATGATTCGTTGATGAAAGGCAAAACCTTCCCATTTTGGATTCCACGAACTCTTTTTCCCAATCGTTTTTAAAATTGACGATCGACGTTAGAACTAACATGGTTTCCTGTGGAAATGTATCTACAAACAGATTTAATAATGGATTTATTACTAATTTTTGTCTATAAATTCGACAATTCTATTATTTTAATAAGTCACATGATAAATTCGTTCCTTATTGTATAATTACCCGTTTTAATAAGTTTTGTAATTTTTCCGTTGGTGAAATTACTGGTCCACGCGTTAAATCCTGAGGCAGAAAAGTTACCGAAGAAATCAACATTTTTTACTTCGGAATTCAAATAATTACGACCAATATTTTCAAATTCTTTATTTAATGGAAATGCTTCGTCCACGAAAATTCCATTGGCAATGTTTAAAAACTCTGTGTCCTATAAATAATTATTTCAACTTTAAAACTTCCAAAACTAATGTATTTGTTTATACAATGATTAATGGTCATTAATAGTGAAAATTATTTTATTACATTACATCAGTTGTATAATTTTTTAAGGGGATGTTTTATTGTATGACCATAATCGTATTATTACATACGTATTATATTGAAAATTATGTTCGAATATTATAAACGATGAACTTTAATCATAATGATAATAATATTCATTAGAATACGAATCATTTAAATTCGATAGTTATATTAATTTATATGATAATTTTATTCAACATATGTATATTATGTATAAAGATAATACATAAATTAATGTTTTTGAATCGTTATCACGATAAACTAACAATTTTCAATATTGTACGATCATGAATTATACATGAGCTTTGTATATGATACAACTTAATTTATAAAAATTACTGTTAATGCATTGTAACATACTTGTATGTTAAAGAGTGCCTCGTGTAGGTTGGAAGAATTATTTATTTTTTTAAGATTTTCTTTGCTTATGCGCAACGCTGGCATGAGACTTTTACTGGTATTGCCCTTAGATCCGAAGGCCAGAAGCAACAAGAGCAATTGAATACTGTAAGGGGATGCGAACAAATTACCATCCTGGAAAGTTGCCAATTCCTAGGGAGGAAAATAAATAAGGAAACAATTATATTATACTTATATAGTATTATATGTAAGACATAAGTAGATATAACAATATTGTTTCACGGTGAACCGCTCAAGTAATAATAAACCTTTTTACCAGCAAATTTTTCGTACGTTATAATCTGAAATTGAGATAAGCAGCGACAAAACTGAACATATGAACTCAAACAAAAATAATTACAAAAAATACATTGATTTAAGTTCAGTTTTATCCTAGTTAAAAAACAGTTTTAATAAATATATCTTTATCACAAATATGTCTAACCTGTCATTACTTGTATTATTATTTTATTTAGTTATGTGCTGAACATATCAAACATACATACATAATGTAATATTAGGCGTTAATTATTAGAAAAAATTATTAATACGATTAATATGTAATTTGACTTTCTTGTTCAGGCTTACAGGTGTATTTAGAAGTATTTTAATGGAACTTTATAACAATAAATAACATTTTGTTATACTAAAATAACAACACGAGTTTTCAAGTCTCATAATTGTTCATGGGATTCTCAGAAATGTCAGGAACCCTTTTAATTGTTGTTCCAAGTTCATTATACTCACTAAACCGTTACACCATAGCAGCAAAGTTAAAAAACACGTAACAATATATGTATTAGATAATAAATATTATAAACAGCGGACAATTTTGTATTATGAAAATACCGGTCGTGATGATAGTAAAACTACACATTGGACTTTAACAATTAAATAATAAGTTATTGCTTGTGAATCATGACTATTAATTTTTATAACTTGAAAAATTATATCCTAGTTCAATTTTATTTTTTAAATGGAATATTAATGAAGTAATAATTATTTTAAAAGGGCAATTATAACCAAATTAAGTATCATATAAATAAAACTTATACTATAGATTTTTACTAGAAACATTTTTAATAGAAGAAAATGTCTAATTTAGAATGAACATATTCTTCTTGACCACGTACTCAAATTTGTATGCAAATTTAAAAAAAATAGTATTTTATTTAATTCAACGTCATTATGAATGCAATTTATGTATTATGTCGGAATAACAATAATCTTACCGTGAACAGAGAGTATGAAAATTGTGTCAAACCGATATTTTCGTCTGACGGTATGGATGCCATGATTGAATTTTTAGGTTTGAACGACTCGAACTGCAAGTATATCAAAAATAATAATTATATTATATCTATAATATCTATTTTTTTGCGTTATCTATAATATTCATATAATATCACGCGATTGCTATAAAAACTATAAAATGTTATAAAATTGTAATTAATTCAGATAAAAACTCAACCATTATGTGATTTGTAAATTTTATATTCCTCTTACGCAGGTTGAATTCGGTTATTCGACTCTATTAATAAATATTATTCTCCAATTAAATAACTAATTAGTATTTTAATTACAGAATTATTTGACTTGTTGATATCTGTTTTAATAAAAATTGAAAGTGGAATTGTTATTCATCTTATCACTTCAAATTTGAATAATTCTGATGAAAAACAATATATTTTATACATTTTTTTTAATATACTTTTATTTATCTAATATGTATTATATAATACAACTATAAAAATTGTTATTTATTTTTATTATTGTTATTGTTGTTTTTATTTCTGTATAATACACTCTTTTCAGCCCTACAGTTTCGCTGTGTAGTTGTTATGTATTTTAACTTTTGTATGAATCTTTAGCGATGTGTGAATTAACACACTATGTAATTTCGAGCCTGGGGTAAGTACAATTTTCATACCAATTATTGTTTCCTAAACGGCTCTTTTAGAAATAAAAAAAATCCTACATTATTTTTCTAAGTCGGTTAAAAGCTGAAAATTTAAATTTAATATTACGATTTTTATGACATCTATAACATAAAATTATATTAAAACAAAAATTAATATTTAAATAAATACTAAATAGTATTTTTATTGGGAAACATGTAAGACCATCCTTCTGAATTAAAAAAAAATATTGCTATTTCAAAATTCCAAAAATTTTCTGAAAATTACTTTTTTTTTCATTTTGACAATGAAAATAAAAAACATTTTTTTTTTTTTATAGTATTATAATGACGAATATATATTGTACAAATCATTTATATGACCTTTATAAATACAAGAAATAAAAGATACTTAATTACTAATTAACTTTAGTTAAACGATTTATTCTAAAGTATCATTTATAAAAAAGTACGAACTATTCAATTTATTAAATTATCAAAATGTATTTATAATATAAATACATTTTAATAATATATTATATAATAGTTTTTATATTTAGTTAAAATTAATTTTTAATATTTCTTAGGATTTTACATTATTATAATGAATATATCAATAATTACATGAAAATTTATTTATGAATATTATTTAAAAACTGTTAATTATTTTATACGTAATTATTGCTCTTATAAGAATCATCTATAGATGAGTATTATTTTGATCACGAACAAGAAAACACGTTAGATTATAAGTTTGTTGATTGCATGCAAGCTGAACGGGTATCACTGACTTAGATTAGTTCTCTTATGTTGAAAGAAAAATTATTGAACGTCAGAATTGGTCACGTAAATTATATTAAAACATGCATTTTTCTTTATCCTTAAAACCAAAGTTAGTCAGCTAATATAGAGTTATAATCAGAGCCGGCTCAAAGTATAGGCGAGCTAGACACTTTCCTAGAGCGGCACTTTAATTTAGGAGCGGCATATTCAAAGTTGACTCGTATATTCTTTTATTTATATCGCTATCCAAAATCAGTGTTTGAGTACATATATTGAAATTAAGTGATTGAACTATACCTCAATACTTATGTGATATTAAGAATTATATCGACTTAACTTGTAACTGCTGCAACAGTCGAGAGGAGTTTCACAAAACTTAAAATATTAAAAACTTATTTGCGATCAAATACATCTCAAAACCGATTAGTCAATCTTTCTACTGAAAGTGAAATCACTGAAGAATTACACATAGATAAATTTATAGAGAGTTTTGTTTTACTAAAAGCAAGAAAAGTCAATTTAAAATAACATTAAGTTTGTTTTATTTTATTTTATCAATATTATTATACTAATAATTTGTTTAATTTTTCGAGATTATGACCAAGGTTTATTTATTTGTAAGCTTGAAAGTAAAAAATATTTTAAAAATCAATAAATATCTGATCATATGAATTCCTAAAATTTAAATACATGTACCTAATGAATTAGTAAATTAATAACTTTACAATTTTGACGTTAAAATAAAAAATATAAAAAAATATCCCGATAGTCTCTACACTACTTGTTATTTCTTTAAAATAAAAAATATAAAAAAATATCCCGATAGTCTCTACACTACTTGTTATTTCTTTAAAATAAAAAAAAAAAAAATCAATATTTTTCATGTAGATATGTCACATGAAAGATAGAGATCGGAGCTATGTTAAAATTAGATCTCAGTAATTATAACAACACAATTTTCTTAATTTTTTCAAAAACAACAAAAAAAGAACTAGCGAAATCAGTCCAGCCGTTCACGCGTGATGGGACTAAGGAAATAGGAATTCATTTATATATTTATTATTACATTATTATATATATAAGACAAAATAAGATTACTAACTTTTTATTTTTTATTTTTTTAAAGTGTAAGGAGTGCTTACAGTGCACGTTACGCCCCTGATTACAATACTATATTTCAAACACGCATTCATTTTTTTCATATACATTTGGCTACCAAAATTATTTTAACTTCAAATTTTGAATTATTTAACGAAATTGAAAAAAAAAGAAGGATTTATTTTAATTTAACGATTAATATTAATTAATTAAAGTATTGTCATAATGATAATCTTACCTTGAACAGAAAGTATATAAAATCGTTAAACCGGCGTTCATTCCATTAAGAACACGAAACATGGACTGCAAGCAAACTAAAACATTGACCATATTATTTATAACTAAATCTTTTGAAAAAGCCATATTATCAATTATATTCAATTAACGTAGATAGAGCGCATGATTACAATAATTGCAGTTCAATATCAGTTTAATGTTATAAAATTGTAATCAATTCAGGTCAGAACTCAATGATCATGTTATGCGCAAAGAGCGTTGTATTTTAAATAACGTTTATTCTGTAGTTGTTGATTCGTGTACCTATCATATATTACATTGGTCCAAAAATATATTCATTTGACAGGCACATGTACAAGAGGGGAGATATAACCACCCCATTGAGGATCTTTTTACGTATATTTATACTACATATACCTAGTCCTCATTCTAATAAACTTAAACTAACTTGAAAATGTAGACAGAGTTGTTTATTTTTATAATAATTGTTCTAATTTTCTATTGAATTTTCATGCATTTTACACCTACCGTCAATTATCGTTGTAAGTATAGCCATCGATAGAACCCATTTTCACTAACAAGTCAGCTATTCAAGTAGTTCAGAAATTTGTTGAATTCAATTGAATTGAATCAATTATTGATTTTTGATCCTGATATTTTTGATTATGGATATTTCAACGTGATTTTTTTTTATTGCCTCTTATCTAACATAACATAAATCATTTTGAACCCCTCCCTCTTGGACGAATCCTGCGCATAAGCCTGCTATTAGTAAATATTCATCATTTTTTAAATTATCCTTACCTCTTGTTTTTTCCAAATATATACATTCTCTCTGCACTTCTTGTTTGTTTGTGTTATTTGCATGTATTTTTAATTTGATTTCAACTTTTGTACAATGAAATTTTGGTAATGGACGCGTCAACATTAAAAATACAGAATTAAATGTCTACGTAATTGCTTACGTTACAGTTTGCATAATCATTATTATTTCATAAAATTTCTGTTTTAGAGATAGAAAATTAACAAGTTATTTTTCTAATTCGGTTTAGCGATAAAAATGCGATTTTTATATTACATTTTTCAACTCCTATATGTTAACTCTATAAAAAAGAAAAATAACAAAAATTTAAATTTAAAGAGATAGATGTTTCGAACGGAAAAACATGCCGGTCTATCCTATAATTAATAGGTTAATGATTATAAAAGCTTTTAAAATTATTATTCTAAAACCGTAGATTATTTTATTTGTATTTATTAATCTTTGATACGTATTATTTTGATTATTAACACGATAACACTTTTAAGGTTAAGAGTTTGTTAACCTCATAAAAGCCGAAAGAGCAACACTTATTACTTGATGTATATTAGTTCTCATATATTGCAAAAAAATGATTGAAAGTCAGAATAGATTACGAAGATGTCAGTATAAAAGTACGGTTTTCTCTCTACCCCTAGAGACCACTTTTAGTCGTCTAATATTAATTTTTAATAAATGCTTTGATCCATCTTCCTTAAAATCCATTATAATACATTTAATTACTCGTTTTTGTCATTAGATAACTTTTTATATTTATAATATTTAATTTAATATTTTATCACTTCCTAGATCGATCCTTCAAATTGTTATGAAATAACACAATTTATATATATATTGCTTTTTATTTAGTGTTAATTGTTGGTACACTTAAAACCAACAATATAATTTTTCAGTTCATTTTTTTTCAATATTTATATTGAAATTATTATCCTATATAATATGAATAACATGATAGTCCATTGGTAGGTAAATATATTACATTTTATTGTTGATGATAAGTTCATATTCAATACTTAGCCATTATTAAAAAAGAATAACATAGTACGAACAAATAGTTTCATAATGGATTATAATATTATAATATATACATTGTGTGATTATTTATATTTTTCATATACATTAGCTATCAATATTTTTATAACAATAAACTATGAGTTAAATTTTTTATTTAATTTTTTGTTGGTAAATTATTTTTTATTTTCAGAAAAACATTTGTGTGATTATAAATTTTACATTTCATTAAATAACATAAATTTTAATCTGTGTCTTCATCAAAAGGATAAGGCGGCGGCAATGCATTAAAGAATATAGTTTCTTTTACCTAAAAAAAAATAATAACAAATTAAAAAAATGCATTCGGTATTAAACTTAATTTTAACTTGTATACATATTATTAAAAATATAAAATTATTTTCATTTCAATATAACTAATATAACTGATATTTTTAATATTTATCTTATCTGACAGTTTTAAGTTGATTATTTACATCTATATTTTTTCACTTCTACGTAAGACATTAAAATACTAAAAGAACGAATTAAGTGTAGTTATAATTAGTATAATAAGTACTGTGTGAAATTATTGATGGAACAATATACCTAAAAACAAATTAAAAAATATAAAAATGGCAATCCTTCACCAACATAACTCGTAAAGTAGACGCTATTATTATCAATGTTGTGCTTAGTTAATAAAAAATTATCTAATTATAGATAGATAAAATCATTTTTATCTAAATAACAATATAAGATATTAGGTATCTCAAAATTTAAATTTATAACGATGATTGAAAATTAAAATAAATTTATATTTTTATCATAATATTGAATAGTTACACAATTAAACATTATCTTAAGCATACTAAATATAACATAATATTTTCTTAAAGATATATTCTGAATATTGCAACAAAAAAAAAAAAAGTGTCTTTTGAACAGTGACACGTGATTACACGACTAGGTTTAATAAAACTTTATTTTCACTATCATCAAACTTGAAATTGCATACACTTGGTGAAGACTTAAAATCTACTCTAGTAATTGGCACATCAAAGTGGATAAAATTTTATTGCGGAAACGATAGTGTTATTGTAATTTTCATTAAATAATAGACATACATGTAAATCTATTATTAAAATATAAAACTATATATAAATATATATAAATTTTTATTAAATATAAAAAAAATTAAAGAAACTTTGAAATAACAAATTTGTCTTCTTATCGTTGTACCACAAAAATGCTATGTTCCATAATTTTAATATCTCTATTTCATCACCTAATTATTTATTTAACTTTTGTGATAATAATTGTATATTACATTATCACATTAGTGTTATTAGTTTATTGTAAATTTTAATTAGTATTCTATTATATTTATACTATTTTAGATAATTTAATTATATTTACACATATTCAAATGTAAATATGATGTACAATTAAAGTATTAAGCTTTTTTTTTTCATTTAAAATATAATTACAATATATACAACAATTTAGTACAATAAATAATTTTTATAGTATTTACATATCGAGAATGACAGATGGGGGAGGGCACTCAGTAGTGTCACCCGACTAAAGTATTAAGCTATAATAGTTTCTTAATAAAATATTAAATTTTAAATTTTTAAAATACTGAAGTTTTTAGTTTATATGTTGATTATTAAAATGTTTAGCTCCTAAAATTTACGAATAAATATAAAACGAAAAATACCTAAATACCTAATTAAGAGATACTATAAACATTTGAGAAAGGTTAAAAACGATTGAATACAGCGTATTAATAGCCATTAGGTATATTATTAAAAAAAAATAGATTTGATCTTATAGCCCATAGGACCATGTTATAAAATCATAAATAAAGCCCCCTCCCATATATAATAATTATTAATATATACATAAAAAATCGTCATAATTCATAAATAATAATAGATGCTGAATACAGTTATTTTAGAACCATTCTTTTGCAAGTAAAGTAGTTCAAATGAGATTTCTTATTTATTTATTTAATTATTTTGCATTGAATGATAATATTGTAGAATATTTATTACTTATTAATTAAATTACACACATAGGTGGTTTGAAATTTTTCAGTTAGTAGTTCAAGCATAGTTAATACTATCCACCCACCTACTAAAAAGTCATATTAGGTACAAAAACTTACCTGATTTTAATCAAATTACCAATTTTATATTACCTACCGCTGCCAGATGCTAAAACCAAGTATTCACCTATTAAAATGATACTTACCCCAAACTTTTTGGTGGTTCAGTGGGTGTCGTTCATAATCGCACATTTCTATATATTAATTCCACATATTTTCGCCAAATTAAATCGTTCAATATCGCACAAATTTATATATATATATATATCAATTACGTATACATTTATCTAAAATAACATGAGTGCACCTCGAGACCGAGCGGGGTCACTCGCTCGCTCGGACAGTTAAAAACGAAAATATCTCCCGATCTTCTATGTAACATCACCCCAAGAAGGTCCCAGGATAAAAAAAAAGATTTTGTGTGGGACTCATACGAAACCGGCAATGTGAACTATACATGCAAAGTGTGCAGAGAGAAAGGGGAACTGTTAACCAAATGTGTGCGATTTTGAACTATCGACCTTTCAAATTTCCCTTTTTAACAATAAAATAAATTTGTGCGGTATTGAACGATGTAAAATGTGCGGTTATGAACGGTAAGTGTGCGGTTTTGATGACCGCCGGGTTCAGTGAACCACAAAATTCATGATCAAGCAATATCTGATTACACTTTGTAAATTATCTAAATGGCTATAATTTTTATCTAGATAAAAATTAGATGTCAGTTTTATTAATTATCTAGATGGGATAAAAATTTGAATCTAGATAGATTTATCTGAATAATTTTAGCTAATGCACAACATCGATTATTACAAGAATCCGAATAGATTATACACTTTACTCATCCTTACCTTTTTACCCACTAGAGACAATCTGTTTGCAAATATTATGATATACTATAAATTGAACACCTCACACCACATTGCTCAAACTACGAAGAAGAACGAAGTATCTTGAACCACCCAACCAACATAGAGAAAACAAGAAAGCAAATACTGATGCAATCTACAAAGTTTACAACGCCGTTAAACTTACAAATCTAATTTAGACTACTAATGTGTAAATATTTATATATGTAATATTAAGTAAATATATGTAAAGTTGTTGGCTAGATGACTTGGATGTCAAAGCTTTTTCCTTAATAAAAAGAAAAAAATTATGATCAATAACAATATTTATAAAAATTATAAGTATCTGATATTAGTACTACGTGATGACGTTAAAAATAAATGCTGGACCACATAAATTCTTCTTAAGAACCAAGTTCCATTTATCAGAATAGTGGTCTGGGGTGCTAATAGCTGATTTATATATACGTATTTATATTGCTTTATACATTAACACTATATTATATAAATTATAGAATCTTATGTTTAAATAAAATATTACTAATATTAGAAAAATATAAACTTGATTGATGAAGTATCCCAAATAAGTTTTAGAATTTTAAAACGACTGTAATAAACAAAAAAAAAAAATGGTATACAATTTAAATTTAAAAATTTTTAACTCAAACTATTCGATTTTTTTGCTCCCTCCGACCCAAATATAATAAATTAATAAAAATAACCATCCAGGATCGCGTCTGCGGTCCAACAGATTTTCCGCTTATAATAATTTATATAATCCTTGTGCGTTTTAAAATGTATTTATTTGAAATATACGGGTTGTAATAACTAATAATTAATAACTTATTAATATAATTAAGGTATTGTACCAACCTCGGTATCAGGCGCGGATCCAGAAAATTTTGACAGGGGGTGCTCAAAAAAAAAAAAAAGATTGTTACACCTTTCTATTTATTTAAATTAATATTTTCTATTTGATTTATTGGTGCTAACTTTTTTTTCATACATCAGTATTTATTAAATATAAACTTAAAAATAACAATAATTTCTTACATATATTGTAACTGTAATTTTCTTGGGTGTTTTTCATTGAATTCTTCAATAACTTCCTCTGGAGTAATTTTAATATCCCTATGAATATTAAGAAGCATAAGTCCATTTAATCTATCCTCTCCTATTGTTGATCTTAAATATGTTTTTGTTTGTCGAAGTGAGGAAAATATTCTTTCTGCGGTGCAAGTGGTAACTGGTATATAACGTAAATAATTTTTAGCAATTCCTTTATATTAGGATAAAATTCAGATGCATGAGTCAAAGCTTCTATAGCAGTTTTAGGTTTATCTAATTGGGATTTCCAAAATTGTTTCCACAAAGTAACTTCACCTCTAACCTCTTCTATCGAGCCAATTAGATCATCGATATAAAATTTGGCCGATTTAATAATTTTTTCGATATCTGTATCTTCAAGTAGGAAAAATGGTATTAAATGTTGTAATCGTTTCGTGTCCGTGACCTAAAAATCTATTTTTGATATCTGATATTAAATTATTTAAATTCCGATAACGAAATAACCGATATTATTTATTATTATTATTTTTATTTTGAAAAATAAGAAATAACATAATTTATAATATAAATTTATTTTGTTGGTGGCCAAGGCGACAGGGGGTGCCCGAGCACCCATAGCCCCCCCCTGAATCCGCGCCTGCTCGGTATAATGGAACTATGAGGGATGTGCAACGATTGTTTTTCTAAAACTACACTGGTCAAACTTACACATATAATTGATCCGATAAGCGAAACCAAACCAAACGCGAACACTGCGTTATACGATCTATTTCTCTTTGCGTGGTATTCATTCCAACTACAGATCGGCACAGGCATGTCGTCCATCGTAAGGTGTTTGTATTCTACAGGATTAAAGTATTGACACACTGGATGTGGTTGTTGGGTTTTCTTACCGTAAAATGCAACTGTAATTAAAATATTACGAATAACAATAATTGAAGTTATATAATATTTTTTAATTTTTTTTTTTCAAATGATATTAAATTATACTATAATTGTAATTAAAAGTTGCAGTTTTTAAAGGCATCAGCTTTTTTTATTTTCATAATTCAGTAAGGAATTACAAAAAGAAAAGGTATACAACTTGACGAACGTTTTTATTTTTTTTAAAGACTACTCGTTAGTACATCTGAATACATCATATCCTGCTACTCATCGAGCTCCGATATTTTACCCTCCTTTTTCTGGTGGTCCGGTAATATTTTTAGTGACGTAGGATAAAAAAAATACTGTCCAAAGAAGATCCAATGTGGTGCCACAAAGACTGATTTTTAAATTAAATAGAAAAACAACTTGGTAACTAAGAATTGCACTTAGTTTACTAAATTTAAATACCATACTTTATTTTTATGTCAACATATAGATGGAGTATTTGATTATTTATTTGTTTTTTGATAATATATTAGCTTATAAGACCGTTTATAGTCATAATTCACTTACGCGGTGTCCGTAACATTAGTGAGCGTTGGAAAAATTGTGGTCCACACAATATGCGTTTTCCGATTATCATTTTTAATAAATTCTGGACAATATTTTCTTGCTTTATAGTATTGTACAAAATTATATTTCAATGTTTAAATTGTCAAAATTAAGATCAAATGGAAAAAACGAAACGAAATAACTGATTATTGATTTGAAGATTTCGAAAAACCATTAATCTCTAGTAAATGCAAGTCACGACTAATGAGTGTGATAAAGTATGATGTCGAATATTATATACATGTAGTTATTTTATAAGATAAAATCTGACAGGGATGTACATTCACTGATATTGTAGATATAATAAACTGTATCGTATGGCTGTTGGAAAAATAAAAAGTCTTATCGGTTTTTAATATTTCATTATTAAATGTATACATACTCGTATATATTTTTAACTAAATCTGAATGTCCAAATTAACTTTTAACGATATAACAGTACAATAACTTAGCTATACATTTCATGCACTATAGTTTTGGTTAAATCCATTTTACCAAACTAGGAAGAAAAATTATTGTACTTTTACTATCGTGTACATGTATATCTATATTTCACACACATCCATCCAATGAGTTAAAATGAGTATTATTAAATATTTAATTATTTTGCAATAAATTAAAATTAAATTTAAATGACTAATTTGTAAGCGTTTTTCTAAGTAGTTTTCAAACGGTTTATATTGATTCATCAAATGCTAATAGGTTTTTATAACTGTTAATTTTAAAGATTATAACAATTAACACGTTAACTATCATAAGGGTGCTCAGGTTCTCTCACCGTTCCCGCTTTAGCGTACCATGACAATTTTTAAATATTTACATGCATGTATCAAATCAATAATTTATTAATTATTGATGATACGAAAAAATGCCTCAGATGAAAAAAGATTTATTTTGAATGCTCACAAATTATCTATCAATAATTACCTGAGAGAACCCGGGTACTCTCATGGTGCACAGATGATACAATTGTGCATAGGGAACATTAACCACTAACAACTAACCAAGGGCCTTTCAGTTTATGTTTACTTATAATTTAGGTTATAGACTGATTATTGCTCCATGAACATTTGTTTTCTAATTTTTCTGATATTTATTTATTATTATTAACGTCATTGTGTGATATCATAATAATATTATCACCAGATCACCTTATCATTGCAATAATTATTAATTATGCTACCAAAAAATAAATACCTAATTAGTTATTGATCTTAATTTCAAACCAAAACATAATTTTTAAAACTTACACCATAGTTAAAGTTATGCGTATAATTTGGTATCAAGATAATATTATAAACAAATTATTTCTGACATTAATGCATATCTATATCTATATCTATATCTATACTACTATATAAAATGAAGTCGCTTTTTTTTGTTCGGGATAAACTCTGAAATTACTTATTGGATCGTCGTGCAGTTTTTTTAAATTAAATAGGACATCACAGAGAAGGTTTTAGGCGTAAATTTAGTCCGATAAAGTTAATAAATAATTAGTTATTAGTTATCTATATATATATATATAAATGGAGCCAAAAATGTATAACATTTCATCAATTGAGAACGGCTGGGCCGATTTAGCTCAAATTTTTTTTAATTGTTTGTAATTGCCAGGAGAAGGTTTTTACGAAAAATTTTTTTTGGAAAAGTGCTATTGTTTAATAAATCATAGTTTAATTTAATAATTTTTGACCAGGTCGATAACTGCACAATTGAAAATGAATTATTAAATAAAACTATTAAAAAACTATTAAAAAACTATACAAAAACTATTTAAAAACTATTAATTTTATTTTTAGTAATAAATGACGGGTATTGCATAAATATTAAACAAAAAAGATCCCGTAACAGGTGTCAAAACAAATAAGAATGTTAGTTCGAAAAATTATTATACGTGATCAGGACAAAATTATTCTACGATATCATGAGCTTCGTCAACAATTCATGGTCGAAATGTATGTAAAGATAGAGAGCGAACGATTTTGATATTTGTGATTCAATCAAAAAAAGCTGCGTGCAGAAGATTCTCAAAAAAATTGTTAGATATTAGAGATGGGAAAGTTACTACAAATGAAACGGAATGTATAAAATTACCGACCGATTTCTGTTCAATCATTTATTCGCAAGATGCTCTCATTGATTAGATATTTTCCAATGTACACAGACAATACATAAATCATGAGTGGCTAGCAGAAAGGGCAATTTTAGTAGTAAAAAATGTAGACGTCAACGAATTGAATCTCAAGATAAACATTTGTTACCAGGAGACATGGTGTCATACAAATCTATAGATATAGTTTGCTATGCTACTGAAGCTGTAAATTATCTAACAGAGTTTTTAAACTAATTGGACTTACCAGGCATGCCACCGCATAATTTACAATTGAAGGTTTGTTCTCCGGTTATTTTGCTTCATAATTTGACCTACCACGGTTGTACAACGGCACGCGATAAGTCGTTAAAAAATTAATGAAAAATGTTATCGAAGCCATAATTTTAAATGGCGAATTCCGAGGTGAAAATATATTATTACCGCTAATCTCTATTATACCCATAGATGTGCAAATACAATTTAAACGCCTTAAATTTCCAATTAGATTGGCATTTGCAATGACTATCAATAAGTATCAAAGCCAAACGATGTCTGTAGCTTAGATTTGAGCACATCATATTTTTCACACGAATAATTACACGTGGTGTGCTCTCGAACCATTCAGTTTGTGTTGGCGAAAGATGGGATAACAAAAAATATTGTACACTCTGTTGCATTAAGGGATAGATATTGTTTTTTACTAATATTGTCATAATTAGCAATATATATAATTTTAATGGATCAATTTTAATAAATTATTAAAAAAATAAATGTTTGATGTTTTTTCATTTTTATATTTCGTCACCATTCATAGCACTCCATATCTCTTCCTTACATCCTTATCCTTACCCACATTCTTACATGCCTATATTTAATTAGTTATTTTTTTCTAGCAAAATATTCTTTAGAAATAATTTATATGACAAAACAACGTTTGTCGAGTCAGCTAGTATTTACTATAATTGTTATTTAGCATTATATGTTAGTTATATGTTAACTATAAATGTTATTTAGCACTGCTAAGTTCTTGTAATACTTTCAAAGAAATATTTAGAATAAATAGCTAAATTTAAATATTCATTATCATAGATCAATATCGTCAATTCTCAAGGTGTCTGTCGAGCTACGGTGGACGTATGATTACGTATGTTATATTGTTTTTTACTATAGAAAAACCAATTATTTTGTAAATGTCTATTATAATTACTATTTTTAGCCATCACCCGATAAGCGTCGCTGCGATCGGTACAACGAACGGAGCGATTATCGTAAACACGTATTGGGCAGTCGTTTTATAGTACAATTATATTGTATTAATGTCGATCGATATGTTGTTTTCCTTCAGTTGCAGTGTTGCATCACAATAATTATTCCTTAAGTTCGGTCGCGAAAACATACTCGGCTCGTTCAAAATTATCAATTAATGATCGTATTAGTTATCAGCACGTAAATGCCTGCGGTGAACACGTCGAAAAAAACATTGGAAAGAGCTGACGAGCAGGCTCGTACACAAAAAATATTTCTATTTTATTTTTTTTTTTTTGGGGGGGGCTTAGATTGTTCATTTTCAATCTCGCATAATCTATAAGTCACTTTTATTCTGTGAAAGCATATTTACAAATGTTCCTACATTTCTGGGTGGGGGAGCTGAACCCCTAATTCTCCAGTTAAAGCGTCTGATGACGAGTGTTTCGTTACATTTACCGCGGTAGTAGTCCGTTCGTACTGACGCTCTACACCAGTGTATGGTTGCAACGGCGTCGTGTGATTTATGGTACACGTGTAATATATCTGTGAACGTTCCTCCGACCGACGACGATTTACGAGGACGGGAAGAGATTATAACAACACTGAACACATTGCACTCACCACCGTATTCGGTAACTATTTTAAACTCCTCGTCTCACGTTTGTGCTCGATGCGTGCATTAAAATAAACAAACAATAGATAGAAGCCGTTGATAATCGGCTATTAGTAGATTTAATAAAAATCGACAAAAGAAACCAACAAAATCAGCAGATAACAAAAATTAGAACCAAATAACTAAAACGAAATGATTGTATTATATTATACCTACCTATATATTATTGCTGTAATTGTACAGAGTTGCATCAGCGTAATCGGTATATTTACTTAATCTATACATTTATAATTTAATTTAAAATTAAAATTAAAATTTTGAATCTTGAAAATTCGATTAACAAAAATCAAAAAACACGTTTACCAAAATATAATTTCATAAAATATGCCCGATTTTGATTAAATCACAGGTAAAAGGCAAAAAAGTCTCAAAAAATCCAAAAAAAAGCACTATAAACTAAAAAACACAAAATATGCAAAATGAAATTTTTTATTTGAGTTCTCTGTACCATGAAACACATTTTTAGCTTACTCTGATATTTTTTAAGCATCTCATAAGAGATATGTAAATGCTATAAAATCCCAACCCTGGTGATCACATTGTTGGACATTCATTTTGTACAATGTTGATACCGATGTTCTTATATAATTATAATACGACACAAGTTTTCAAACCGAAACTCTAATGATTTTCATTGTATTTGTTTACGATTATAAAATAAAAATTGCATACAGCCAGAAATCAGAATCAAGCGTGTCACGCGAAATATTAAATTACACAGTATGTAAATTAATATTTGATATAATGAAACATATTACGTGGCTTGGTCAAAACAATGATCGGCTTGAATTAATATTTTCCGTCCATTTTGCAAGGGATTTTATGAGAAAAAAGATACAAAAATAAATAAGTAATACATATGATATACATTTGACTTAATACAATTAATTAATTTATTACAATACTAGAATACAATCAGAAAACTTTAATCAAATGTTGATTATATATTATATATAAAATTAAATATTGATTTTGAAATTCTATTAATTTATTGTAGAGGTGACAAATAAATAGTACGCATGCCAAGGTTGGCATGCATGAAATTTTCGATGGCACTCGAAAAACTTTCATTTGTCCATATATATTTATAGATTTTTAAGTAACATACAATAAATTTA